ACTTAACACTGGATCGAAACAGTGATCCTGGGTGATCAGAGCTGGTTCTGCAGTGTCTCAGGTATCCCATAGCTTTGAGTAGTAATAATGGGAAAAGTGAGCACAGGGGAGAGGAAAATAGACGGTTTCTTCTGTCCCCTTAAGCCCATATCCAAAGCAGAGGACATTTCCATTCATGGTGTACAAGACCTTTTGTGAACGTGACGTTTTGTCTAAGCTGAAGAGACCTGTTCTAGGGGAATACCCTGCCATGTGTATTCTGTTCTGGCCTCAGATAGTCCTGAAGGAGCCCTGTGGACAGTTGGGTTTTACATGTCTGTGATTCTTGAGATTATGTTTGAAATGCCTTGCTGAAAACGTATGCATCAAGGAGTGGTTGGAACAGCAAAAAGGTTTGCTTGCCAGGCAACGAAGAGAAGGGAGTTGCTATGCCTTGGAGCAGCACTGAAGAAGAAAAGTAGATGGAACAAAAAGTGGTATTTGTGGAGTACCAGCTCTGGAATTTCAAAGTAGTTTTATTTTTAATTTTAGAACTGACCAGCTTGTTGGACGATGACATTTATTCCTTCTTGAAGCTGCTGTTCTGAAAGCAAACAGTAGAAGAATGTGGAATAATTCAAGCCTCCGTTTCCTTTTAACACTAGCTATTTTATGTTTAAGAAGCTTAATATATAGCCAAGAGACAGGTAAGTTTACTGCAATGTAATTCACTAATTACTTTTTCTTTGTAGTGGCTGTACGGACACCATGTAATAATGTTGCTTTCCTGTTATACGTATGTTCAAAAACCATCACCACTGTGGTCCCACACCATCCTAGGGGTGGAGGTACTACCAGGCCTGGGCTCTGCTTTCCAGTAGTCAGTGGCGTCTTGTAAACCAGTGCAAAATTGGATGTCAAATTCTCCATAATGCAACTGTGGTAGTCTGCATATGCAGTTGGTGTAAATGTCCACATTGAGACCTTCTTGCTGCATATGTCCGCTGTCTGCAACAATTTCACACGTTATTTTTATTAATTGCCCTTCTGTCATTAATTGCCCTCCATGTGGGACAACGGAGGAGAGCAAAATACTCATTAAGCTTATCATCAAAGCTTGCGGTTTTGCCATTGGCCCAAAGCCTGCTTATTAGGCTAGGCTAGGAATGGGTGTTGTAGAAAGAAACGGCTGCCTGTGTCGTTGCACACAAGTATAAACCCATACTTTGGGTACTTGTAGAGATCTGGCAGTCTGTGGCTGTCTGTAATCAGGCACACAAGTCATTCAACAGTTTTAAAATACTGGCTAGACATGCATGCAATAAAAATGTAAAAAAAAAAATGGCTATAGAGGTGAACAATAGCAGTCATTTTAGTTGGTCATTTGTGACCTGCAGTTTGTGACTGTGTTTCTTACATGATTTCAGGTTCTCTTGGGGACCCCCAGAATTTAAAATGTGTAACGCACGATTTACGTAAAATGATCTGTACTTGGAATGTCCCCTCTAAAGGAAGACATGGACAAACTGACTTTTGCTACACTACCAAGTAAGTCCCCCGTATACCTGGTTGAAAACTACCAACTTGGGATGGAAGTCTAGTTATTCCTCAGTCACTGCCCATGGAATTTGTGATGCTGTTTTTCCCCAGCATCTCCCCATCAGTTTTCCTTGGGTGGTGCTCCCTCCAGGCACTAACACAGGCAGTGGCGGGGTTTCTGGCAAAGTCTTGTTTCGTGCTAACAATGCTCCTGCCTGCCAAAATCTGCTTGCTCTCTTCAAAGGACTGGAAGATGCTCTCTTTTACTCAGACTTCTCTGTGTGTCTGCCTAGCCCTTGCTCAGAGTTTTCATGAGGGACATCTTCATACCAGGTTCAGTCCAAAAGGAAATGATACTTGGAAGAAGCGAATCCTGATGTTAAGGGCCAAAGTGGTAGAATATATGACATAAGTGTTTAGATTGACATGTGGAAAAACATGAAAAATCTCTTGGTGTCTGTCTTATAACCTTTATAAAATTTAAGCTGCCTGGAGAGCATTGTATTAGAGGAAACATAAAAATTATTCCATAATTACAATAGCTTTTCCGAAGTGAGTGCGAGTTAAGTTCTTTTATCATTTCTCAAAATTTTCAGATCTTCTGTGTGTTTTTCACTAATGAGAACTACATGTGCAATTCCCCATGCTATGGGTCTGCCAAATACTTATCATGTGCTAGGGATGAGTTCAAATCCTTTTTGCATCTTGATCCTGCCCCCAATCCAGATATTTGTACTGTCTTTTCTTCCTGTAAATTCTGCAGGCAGCCCAGACTCGTCCTTGGGGTCCCAGGGCTTGGCTGTACTTCTTCCACCTACATGTTTCGTTTTCTGTGTCTAGTTATTCCTCCCTGCATTGCCAGCTATCATATTCTATACAAAAAAGTGTCACATAGATGTGACACTGCGGCCGGAGTCCAGGAGCGTAGAGTCCATGAGGTATTGCCTCCTAAACAGGACCAGTCATGTAGCTGCTGCTGTTTCTCCTTAGCAAAGTGGAACAGGCTTGAGTGCCTGGAGCAGAGAGGCTGAGGGCTGAGTTTAGTACAGACCTCCCTGAGGGA